ATCTTGTTGTTCTAACCCAAAACTTACCAAATGTTTCCAAATGCAGAGATCCCTTTAATTTTAGTGTGACTGATCCCTCCTTATTCACAATTTGCCTAATTGTGCTTTCTGTGATTGATGATATCTACACAACAATGAGCACCGCAGTGTAAGCGTCCCCTAAGATCCGTCATGCTGTTGGTAGTTTGAGGAGCTTCATTTTCTGGTTCTAGCTGCCTCCACTTTGAAACTTTCCTTAAAAATGCCTTAAACGGCAAATTTTGACACACGACCCAGGGCCCGGCATCCGGGGAGATTTCTCCTGGAACATGGCAAGCATTGGGTAAGGCTGGGCCTCAGCCAATCTTGTCTCCCACGCCTGTCACCCCACGCACTCAGTCCCAATATTAGGTTACTCTTACAGCTGTGGAGGATTTGACAATGAATTTTGACCCTCCCTCTGAGCACTGATGAGGAACGGGGAGAACAGCCAGTGAGTCCAGAATGGACAAATGCAGAATGGCGCAATTTGTCTGCAACACACTGAGAAGGAACTGAATATCTCCAGAGACACCTTCATTCCTCCCAGCCCCACACCTTCTCACAACAGCTCACCATCAATAATCACTTCTGAGCACCAGGCAACAATACACAGGCAAAGAAGCTCAGACCAGGGCTTTAAAATTAAACAGCTAGAGGATATCTACAGAGGCTCAGTGTAGTCACCAGTTCCTGCTGCCACATGATGCCGCTGGCAATAGGGATGATGTTGGCACTTCCAAACGAGCACAGGGCCAGATTGCAACTGGAAGGAACAACCCTAATTCTCCTGCAGTCAAAGGAGCTCCAAGGTTTCATACACACTCAGGGTTTAGCCCCAACAGCACCATCAGGAAACTTGAGGGCACTTAAAGAAATCAAATCTCTTAACTGTTTAAGTTCATCCTTCTCCGTGAAATGTGTCTGGAAGACACTCTCAAGCACTTCACCAAAGTTAATTGCCCGAACCCAAACCCTCACAGCCCACAAATCCTTTAAACTTTGAGAACTGACTTAATGCTGAACAGCTGCCAGGCACTCGTTCGTTTGCAGCCACGGGAACAGCTTTCTTATCGATAAAGGGGGATTCCTGCGTATGCAACACCCGGCCATGGCGATGGAAACCACTCCGGCAAATGCCTCCGCTTTGAGATTAGGATATGCCCAAAAGGTCGCAGGCAGGAAAAAAGCATTAAGTGCAGCTACAGGCCAAGCAAGATGCACATTCAAAATAAACAATGGAGCAGTCCCCTTCCAGAAGTGTGAGGACAGCCAGCGTGGGGGATGCTATAAAAACATCGACATTTGCTATAAATTGCTGTGCTTCGAGACCCAAGACACTACAGTTTTCCTCAATAGGAAATAACTGGGCTATCTCCAAAAACTGTTGGTAAATGAGGACTTTAATGGTGACAATTGCATCAGTACAAAAGCAATCTCCTATTTTAGCCCAATTAGTGCTGTGCTAAATCATCAACCCGGGCCTTGCCTTTTGCAGTTGAAAGAGACACATCTGTGAGGCTCTTCTGTTGCATGTGGTTTGTATTATACTCTAGCACAATATGTATAAACTAACGCTATTCTACACTTACACAGCACCTCATCTGGAAATCTGAAAGCGATTTATGAATGGTGGGCATCTGTGACATTTTACAGATGGAAATTGAGGCACGGAGGGATTCAGTAATTAGCCCCAGACTTGCACAATGAGTCAGCTGCAGAGCAGAGCCCATTTTTTGTTGTGCAGTAACATCTAGTGTCCAAACACAGAGGGAGACAAGTCTTTTCTCCCCAAAAAGCGTACGAGCATGTCCCAGAAAGCCACCCGTGTCTGTGTTCAGACCGAGACTGTTGAGGAACAGTCGGTGTTAACGTGTATCCTAAAGCACAGTCTCCCTGGTAGACAGGTCCCGCCGTTCTTGTAATACAAACGCAGGCCAGAAGAAGGGTTAATATGCCTGAAAGTTTGTCTGCATTTTCCACATCAGTTGATCTAATAAAAAAGATTGATTCTCCCCGCAAATCTGGCCTCGCTTTAACAAATCATTTGATTTGACACAAAGGACTATATTCAGATACTTTAAATTCCACTTTAGTCCCTGAAACTAAAGTTTCTGATGGGCTGAATACTTAGAAACAGCCAATAGGAAACACCAGCCAGAGACACCCACCTTGGGTAGGGTTGAAAGTGGCTGAGTGTGGCCAGAAGCATCTGCAGATCTCTCTGTGCTGTAGTGCTTATGAGCCCACAGAGGAATGTCACCGTCTTACAGAAAACAGACAGCCTTTTCTATACCTTCTAGAAATACAGCAGTAACTCACACTACTGAAGCACTTCCAGTATGTAAGCATAGCACTGTATTACCTTCCCACCTTGCCCAAGACAGGGGGCCAGATGCCAGGAGCGACACCCCCAAGGTATTGGGATCCAGATTCCCAAGGGGTAGAAAAAGCCCACGATAAAATTCGAGCAATCCAGGCACTTGCATTAGAAAATTTTCAACGTCTTTGTCTTGAAAAGATAGAAAAGCATCTGCAGCCAGATCTCTATTGCAACTTAAAACAGACCTAATCTTTATCTCTCCATTATTGCCTCTTGGTCTTGCCTATATCAAAGTTAATGAACATTGCAGCTGGAACGAGCTGATTTTACAGCGCTCCTGCCCTCGGTCTACCCATTTTCTACTTATCTGGCATATTTCCTTCTAAAAAGGAGAAGAGCAAATCCTCATGTCATGTGGTGCCACGTACTGCACAAATGTTCTTATCTAGTCTCCAGGGAATTTGTGAAATCCCTCCTGCATGCTTCATGGTTCATTTCAGAACAGTCACCTCCCCACCCAGACCTCAGAGCCCAAGACCCCACCACAGTGGGGGCAACACAGCTCTGCATGGTGTCCAGCCCCACACTTCCAAAGAGTTTAGCCTGTGTCCCAGAAATCAGTGTATCATTTGGAAGCTAAATGACTAAGAGCAAACCATAGAAGGAAATATCTTCAATCACAGGACAACTAGAGGAATCCTAGGCCAAATCACTGATAAGAAGGATTCCTTGCACAGTCAAAAAAAAGACCCTATAAAAACCCAGCCAACATCCTCTAACCCCCATTGTCAGATTAGCAGAAGGATAATAGCATCAGTTAGATTTTGCCTGGATGAAGCTTTCAAGATGCATGGAAGTGTGCAATGGAGTAAGCCACATATTTTAAAATAATTTAACATTTTGTCTCCTCAGAGAGCCATGATGTGCAAGGACAGGACTATTCCTGCTCTCTATGGACACAGAACAGACTAGATGTTGAAAGGGCCACAGCCACCAAGGGAGAAATTGAAACATAAAGTGGAGAGAGACCAAGGAAACAAATCAACACTTTGAAAAGACAATCCAGAAACAAGACTGGCCTGTGGTGGGACCAATAATAAGGATTGCAGAAGATTTAGATGTAACTCCTGCTGGCACAATGTTTTCCCATGTGTCCTTGGACACGTAATTTAGTTCCTCTGCATGGCAGCTCCAGTACCAGGTTCAATGTTGTTAAGAAGTATATTCCTGTGCCAGGACATGGCCAGGTCACACAGGGGAGGTAAGCAATAGCCTCCCCAGCCATGGAAGAGAATATGGAAGAGAACAAGGACAGAAACAAGAACTGAAGGATCCTTTTCTCCCAGAAGGTCCCCCCAAGGAACGCAGCACTGCAGATTTGAGTCGCATCCTTCCCAGGCTGCCATCCCTGCCCCGCTTGGCTACTGCCCACCCCAGCTGTGCCTGGGACAAACAGCCAATTCTACGCTGAACAACCGCAGCTAATGAGGAATCAGAGGCATGTTCTGTGACATCCACGGGCAGAGCACACAGAGAGAGATGAACTGCAGCTAGAGCACGAAGCACATCTCCAACAGAGGCAGGGGCAGAAAGACAGACGCTCCTTCTAATTTAAGGCTTCATAGGAGCTTTTGTGCTATGGGATGGTTATTTTCCTGCTGAGTGTGTGTTCAGAAAGGAGAGCAGAGAGGCAGATCAGCGTGAGCTCTTCATGCCCTTGCATACCTCTGCTTTCCCAAAACCAGCCCTTTGGAGTAACTCGTCTGCTCAGCATATGTGCTGCTTCAAAGGTCCCAAGATTTTCATCTTCCATAAAACCTGCACATGGCTATCAGGTACAAAGACTCCGATGTAAATTCCTGCTTCTTATTGATTGACCATCTTTGGGGATATAGGGTTGAATTTAAAACCTTAGTTGGGCTTTTGCACATGCACCAGAGCACTTTTAAGCCACTTTTACCGTCAGTTTAGAGCCATACAGTTCATGCACCAGCAAACGGCCAATAAGCTCTCATTCACTTTCAACCTTTAAAAGCATTTAAGTTTTCTCAGGGAAAGCTGTTCAGAGACTCCAACACGAGTGTCACAGTGTCACTCAGACATGAGGAGACACCAGGCTGATGACCCCCACTCCTCCTGGGAGAGCCTGCAATCGCAACCAAGGTCACAGCCACCTCCCCTCTGAGCGCCCTGCAGCACTCACCTCATCAACCCGACCCCTTTCTGGCTCTTCTCAATATACCACCCACAAACGTTGATGAGGAGCATGAGCAGGTCAGGGAAAACAGGGGGATGAGTTTTAATTGCAAGGAGGAGAGCACAACAGGCACCCTGGGCCAGACCCAGGGTTTGTGGAGCCTGGTGTCCCCCCTCAGACAAGGGAAAATGAGAAGAACACAAGCAGGACAGCCCTTCCCAGGTGCTCAGCAGGCACCTGAGAGGAGCAGGGCATTTCCAGCTCCCCTCTTCTTTGCCCTGCAGATACTTGAGGGGAAACTGAGGCAAAGAGCAGGCAGAGACTTGCAGACCCCCCCCCTTCCATACGCTTCCCCACACACCAAGCAAAGGGCATCCCTGGCTGCCACAGCCCCCACCCAGGAGTGCACCCCGCTTCGCTCTTAGGCTCTGCTTTTCCGTGATGCTCGTGGTGCCCACTTACGGTCCCGGTTGGAAAAGTAACCGTGCTGGCGGCCAGATGAACCTGCGGGGGGGAGACAAGGCAATTATCACTGGGAACGTGTCAAACCCTCGCCCTGCGCAGCATCGGTTCAAGCAGAGAAAAAGTTTATTCAGCTTGTGGAGCAGAACTTGGTAAGGAATGAAAGCGCCTTCGCTCCTGCCAGCAACTTCCCCCCTTCCCACCCACCGCAAGACACGCACGCACCGACGGACACGCTCCCCTGCTCAAAGTGCTGAAATAGGCCTGTAAAAGAGCCCCTGCCTCCATCGGAGAGGATGCTTCCAAGAAATACAACCACAGGAAAGCCTACTGAACGAGACAGGCTGCAGCAATCCATTCTGGTTGAACATAAAAGGGACTTGGGGTTGGTTTGGGGTTTTTTGGTTGGGTTTGGTGGGTTTGTTTTGGATAATGACCTCAATTGCACGCTATAAGGAAAAAATGGTCCCAGGTTCAAGGAGGGAGAGCAGCTGCCATCATTTTGGATGAGACATGGGAAGAAGAACTCGGCACCTTCCCAGCAGCTGGTATATACGCTAAAAACCAAGTTTGTGACAACAAGAAGAAAAGGAATAGGGTCGGGGGGGAAGGCCTTTAGCACTATGGTCACAGCAGCATCTCCTGATGTTTAGAAAACCAGAGTACACTTCGGAGGGGGTGTCTGCCCCAGCTCTGCCAGGGTCAGCTGGTGAGCTGGGCCAGTTACCTTGCCTCTAGAGATTTTTCTATCACCAAGTGTAAAACCAGAGATGACAACTCCAACTGCCTTTGAAAACCAGTCTGAGGTCTGGGAAAACCTAATTATTTAAGTCTGTGAACCACAAAGCACTTTCATCTGGAAAGCACAATATATGAACAAATCAGTATCTGTGTTTTCTTGCATAGAAGGGTAAAAAAGGAAAAAGAAAAATGCGAAACAAGCTGAGGAAATAATTGGTTTAGTACCAAAAGTTTCCCACAGCACTGGAGGGTGACGGTCTCACTGAAGTGATGGGTATTAGTCATGATCAGCACATATAAAATCATCTTGAAGATGCTAACTACAAACAACTGTTAACAAGATTTTACAAGAGTGTGTTTGTTGTACCAGTGTCTAGAAACATCACATTAAAAACAAACAAACAAGATCAGATAATTGCTTTGAATATGGTTTTTGTTAGTTTGGGGTCCTAGATGGCTTTGTGCATATGCCTAAAATGCCGAGCAGCAGGATTGCTTATTGTCCTCCTACTCATCCTCCCTGGGAGGAACGTGAAACATTGGTGCAAATCTGGACAAGGTCTGGAGTCCCTTAAGATCCTCAAACACTCCCCAAAACCCACACAGATTTATTTGGAGGACTGATGCTCTAATATTCCTCCAGCTCTTGTGTGTCACCTCAAGCTTTAAAGCACTCAAGCAGTGATAATGGGCCAAGTCCAGTCCCACAAGTCACAGTGCTACATTCCTCCTAAAGCCATCCTTTGAGGAAAGTAAATGGAGATTTGGCTGCTGGTGTGACTCCCAGCAGCTGTTTCCATAACGTTGAGAAAGGATGGGACATGGGGATGAACAGAAAACTGCCATGAATGGGCACCAACCCTGTCTTGTCCCTTTTTCTTAAAGAAATTCTGTCTCAGAATTGTTGTGCTTTCTGAAAGAAAAGGATCGATGTGGATGAGAATTAATTTAGGCTTCCAGTGTCTTATCAGGTTTGAGGACTTCACGTAAGAGCAGCCACGTGCATCCTGCATGAGACTTCTGGGAATGAATGGTCACAGAAAATGGATATAACTTTGGTTTGCAAAGCCTCACATCAGTAGAGAACATTCAAACTAACTGCAAGCCATAACAAAATTCTCAGAATCACATAGTTTTGCACTATTATCTGAATAATGTAATAACCATTATGCAATAGTTTTTCTTTCATTATTCCACCATTAACAGCAACTACAAACCACCGATTTCTGCTTCTACTTTGAGGAGCAGATAAAGATTCCAGTTTAGTCCTTTCCAGTTAAAATTAGATAAATGTTTTATGCCTTCTGCAAGAACTGCAGAGTCAACAGAAATACCAAGGGCCAAATCCAGAGGGATCCTGTTACTAACTCAAGATCCATCCAGAGTTAAACAGCACCCACAGTGTGCCATAGGAAGTTTCTCCCTTCACACAACAGTGCCAGGTTGAGATCAATGACATCCAAAAAATGTTTACAAGGTCTTTTCTGTAACAGCAACAGGAAAGAAAAAAACCTAAATCACAAAAATTGCAAAAGAAAGGCCAGTCAAAGGTAGAAATGTATTCCCCAGCCCTGCACAGGGAATCCATTTCTGGACAGTTGCCTGAAACTCTGCATCCGCCTTGTGCTGGCTCAACCCTCACTGCTCTTGGCAGGTGAGATAGAAAATTGGTTATAAAATGAGCCCTATATTTTATAAGTTTCATAAACATTTTTTTAAAAAACTAGAATATGAGGTATTCTCAGAGATCCTGTGCCAGAGAGTAATGTGGTCTAACTTGGAAACAGAGTTACCACCTGTTCATGGCAACTACTCTTTTAATCTTCATTTCTGTTTTATGAGCTGACCAACACTATTTTATTAGCTGACAATTAGTTTAGGTTGATTTAATTAAACAAAATTGATTACAATCCCTTCTTTCTTCCAGGGCAAACTTTCTGCAGGACTAGGGTTTTGAACAACTTGGACCCTGTATCAATAAAGCTAAATTCCAGATCTTTTTGTCAAAAACCATCACATGGCAATTCAGGTAAAGACACGTCAGTGAACACAGAGACGTTCTAGGTGTGTGTTAAGAAGAAAAGGCAGGCTCTGGCTTCCTGGTTAAAAACAGAAGTGATAGCTTGACCCCAGGTAGCACTACTACTTAAAATTAACTGGTTTAAGAAGTTGCCACCTTTGTTTTCAGAATGAGCGTGTCTGCACCTCATAGATGGACAGTCTACCAGACAGGAAAGAGAGAGCTGAAAAACAACCCAATCTGAAAAAATCCTAATTTATTATTTTTCAGGGAGATCAATTCCTTAAACCATGTGGCTGCAGAAATGTTTGAGTCAGTGGAACAGAAAGGGCAGTGCAGGGGTGGGAGGAACAGCAGGTATGGCCAAGAGGGCAAATTTTAACTGCGGCTGGAAAGTGGTTCATTTAGCTAAATGCAAAGATGAACCCATGGTCACTGGCTGCCAGTACCAGACAGCGCTCCTAATGTTCCAGCTAAAGCTTGAAGTTGATGACAAAAATCTGTTGACATCAGCAGGCCAACAGAAGGTCATCTGCATCTTGAACAGATGCCTCTAAAGTAGACATTGTGCACAGGCAGGGAAAGCTTTTCTCTTTTTCTCTATTCTTCTGTGAGCACATACACTCATGCATCAGCATTAGGCTAAAGTACCTTGTGTCTGCTAAATATCAGTCTATGGGTGAGAAAGAGCACAGGGTAGATATCTCAGTGAGTTTTAATATGTCTTTGTATTTGTTTTGGTTTGTTGTTACAATGCTTTTCTTTTTCTTCTTTTTTTTTTTCTTTTTTTTTTCTTCTTTTTTTTTTTCTTTTTTTTTTCTTCTTTTTTTTTTTCTTTTTTTTTTCTTCTTTTTTTTTTTCTTTTTTTTTTCTTCTTTTTTTTTTTCTTTTTTTTTTCTTCTTTTTTTTTTTCTTTTTTTTTTCTTCTTTTTTTTTTTCTTTTTTTTTTCTTCTTTTTTTTTTTCTTTTTTTTTTCTTCTTTTTTTTTTTCTTTTTTTTTTCTTCTTTTTTTTTTTCTTTTTTTTTTCTTCTTTTTTTTTTTCTTTTTTTTTTCTTCTTTTTTTTTTTCTTTTTTTTTTCTTCTTTTTTTTTTTCTTTTTTTTTTCTTCTTTTTTTTTTTCTTTTTTTTTTCTTCTTTTTTTTTTTCTTTTTTTTTTCTTCTTTTTTTTTTTCTTTTCCCCCTTTAATAATTTTTTCCCCCACCTTTTTAGAGCTATACCAAGAAGGAAGTTCTAACTGGGCAAACATCTCAAGTTCTAGGCAAACATCTCAAGTTCAGGAGATACTCCAGATTACACCCCAGGTAGGTGCCTGAACTGTAAGATATCAGTCAGGCTGAGAAGAGATAGAGTTCATCCAGACAGGTCATATAGATATTCAGGTTTGGCTCATTTGAAAGATTCAAAGCAATAAATGACCAAGATCAGCAGCATTAATAGCCTTCTGAGTACCAGCCTGCACCGAGCTGAGCTCGAGTGAAACCTTCAAGAATGAACTTTTTCATGTCACAATTTCACAAGTCCCATTTTGCAACAAGGCAGAACCCAGTAGTTAATTATATCTGCAGAGCTTGCAGCAGAGCTTGTGGCAACAACTCAGCCCTGGAGGATGGAGAAAAATGACTGTAACAGTAGTAGACATTTGGGTGCAGTTAAGTATAGACAATGTTGTAGTCAAATGGCTATTCTATAAGATACATGTTGCCTTTGACACTCACAGCGCCTTGAAAAGTGAACCACCACCATTAGTTATAACTCCCTGGCAACAAAAGCTCTAATAATTCTGACTAATTGTCATGGAAAGTTACCCTGATTGCAAATTTGACAGTTATAAAAATCCAATTTTGGAATTCCAAACAGGCCAGGAACATAATTAGGCTCTACATTTTAACACCCTCTTGATCAATGGTGGGGTAATGGAGACCCTTCCAAGAGCTTTGTTTTGAAATGAATGGCGCCATATTGATGAAACAACTTGGACACAGCCCAGAAATTAAATTGAAAGTTTAAACAATGCAGCTGTATTTTATCATCCTGTATTGTCAAGCTTTAACGAAAATAGCTCCTAAACAGAGCCACATGTTTTGCCTGTTGCCCAAAAACTGAAGGTGAATTTTAAAACCCTTTCCTAAACTGCAGGATGCCAAGATTTTTCAGCTAGAAGTTATTATTAGGACACAACAGTATTTCATATAAGTCTTGACAACGGTTTTATATGGTTTCTGTAAAAGCAACTTCATTTTTTAAATCAGAGATGGCTCAGATGAGTGACACTTCAAAAA